CACGCACACACACACACACACACACACACACACACACACACACACACACACACACACAACAGCATGAGCTGGTGGAGCGACTGGGTGCTGCTGACGCTGCGCTGCCCAGTGACATTCACGCGGGCATTCGTGACTGGATGCTCAGCTGGCCGCTGTGGTGCCAGCCCTAAACGCCTCAAAAGGACCAGCGCTGCTAATCAGCTGAGCGACCCGGAAGTTGCGCACGTGTGTTCTTCTGCGTGCAACACCTCCAACGCTCCCTCTTCTGACTTTGTCACCCTTTTGTTGATTGATATATGTTGTGTCAACAATAGTCGGTCTCTTATATTGCCAGGACTTTAGAGGGCCTGAGAATCAACCACTGTGCACGGCAAACGAAACAACACAGCAAAACTACGCTCACAACAACACAAAAAAAAAAAAACCGCCACGCCACGCCACGCCATACGCAAACATCAAACACCACAACGCACACCGCCTTACACCTATCACAAGCAACAATAGCCAAGAAAGTGAGAGAGTGTGTGTGTGCATGTGTGAGAGAGAGAGTGTGTGTGTGTGTGTGAGAGAGAGAGAGTGTGTGTGTGTGTGTGTGTGTGTGAGAGAGAGAGAGAGTGTGTGTGTGTGTGTGTGCTAGAGCTCGCACGAGTCCGGCCCCGCACACGCGAGCGTGAGCTGCAAGCTGGTGCCGTCCTGGTCCTCCTTCACCTCCCGCAGGTCAATGGCGGTGATGTGGGTCATCAGCTCATCGTACGTCGCCTTGCTGCACTCCTCAAAGGGCGCCTGCTTGTACGTGTGCCCGCTGTACGGCAACACGCACAGGCCGTTGTAGGCATCACGGTTGTGCCACATCCACGCACCAACGCCATCCCACTCGTGCTCGCGGACAGAGACGGTTGTTGAGACGTTGTTGGTGTTGACGCCGCGGCGGTGGCCACCACGGATCCACGTGTCGTGCAGGCGGTGCACGCGGTCAAGCAACTGCAGCACAGGTGGTGTTGGTGATGGTGGTGGTGTGAGTTTGAAAGGGGAGAAAAGGCCACATGGGCAACATGGGCAAGGGTTTCTGTTTGCTGCTCTGCCACACCACGACAAGACAACGCACAACCACAACACACACGCACGCACACACACACACACACAACCATACACATACATGCATCCACAACGGCACAACGCACACACATGCACGCACACTCACGTGAAGGGCGCTTTCGCTGCGCAGGGTGGCGCCTGGCGGTGCGCGCTGCGGGAACGAGACGACGGCGGTTGTGTTTGTGCTCATGACGTCGTCCTCGATCAGCGCAGGGCAGCGCTCCAGCAGATACGGATACAGCGACTCCTGCTTGTTCACGCGCATGCGGCGGATGTAGTGCTCGGCGTGCCACGGGTGCACGCCACTGCTGGTGCCCAGCACGAGGCTCGTGGTGCCTGCAGGCTTGACGGTGGTGACGCGATCGGCGGTGCTGATGCCAATGGCCGCAGACACACGCGCGTTCTCGTCGACAGCGGCATGCGCAGCGCGGGAGAGATCAAGCCGCATCACGGCGCCGCTCGCAATGCCTGTGCGTACGGGTGCAGGGAGAGAGAAGAGGAGAGAGAGGGGGGGGGGTTGTGACGGCAAGATTGGGTAGTAGTGTTGCGGCAGGAGGATGCCATACAGCTGATGACGAGCTAAATGTTCAGGGCACGAGGTCACACACGCGCGCACAGAGACCAAAGGCAGAGGCAGAAGGACAGGCAGGCAGGCAGGCAGGCAGACACGCAGGCAGAAGGACTGACAGACACGCAGGCAGACACACACACACACAGACACACACAGACACACAGACACACACACAGACAGACACACACACCGGTCATGCCGACGCCGAGGAGGGACGAGCGGCGCGTCGTCTCCGCCCACTCCGGCCGCAGGTAGTGGAAGTCCGTGTACGAAGCCTGCAGCGTGCCGATGAAGGCTGCACACCGGGCAAGCGTGTCAAGCTCCTGCTGCGACGACACCGCGCTCACATTCATTTCCGTCAGGTTGCAGAACTGGAAGGGCTCGAGCGCAATCTCGCAGCAGGGGTTGGTGCCCCACTCCGTGGAGTTGGTGAGGTAGATGCCTGGCTCCCCGCTGTTGGACGCGCGCACGTGCTGCCACAGCTCCATAAACTGCGCCTCCGTCACGTGTGCACGGTCAAGCACGGCAGAGTTGTTGGCCATGGCGCGCTGGCTGTTGCGCTCCCACCACTCACCGCTCTTGGCTGCAGCCATGCCGGCATCCTCGGGCGAGAACAGCGAGATGAGCGCCGAGCGCCGCACGCCCCCAGACGCAACGCAGGTGGCAAGGTGGCACACAATGTCATGCACGTCCAGCGGTGACAGGCGCGTGTTGTCTGCCGCGCGTGCGAGGATGGCCTCCGAGGCCTCCAGCGCCTCCCGCAGCGGCTCGGGTCCAGGCGCCCGCCCGCCAGCAGTGATGATGGGCGACCCTTTGGGGCGGATGGCAGAGTAGTCAAACTTGACAGGCACGCGCGGCACCCCGTCATCTGGCAGGTACGTGTCGAGCAGCACGCGGGCGGCGTCGGCCCAGCCCTCAATGGAGTCGTCGATGTTGTGCACGTGTGCGTGGGTGGCGACGGTGCCGCGGTGCGGTTGGCGCACACGGGGCAGCTGGCTGATGTGCTGCTGCTGCACGGAGAAGCCAGCCCCGGTGCCGCTGAGGAGCAAGAACATGAGCTCGGAAAAGGCGCTGGTGGTGGTGATGGGCAGGAAGCTGCAGTTGAACATGCGCACGTTGTTCACGGCGACAGCACCGCCAGCAAACTGCAACGAGCGCATGGAAGGCAGCACCAGCTTGTTGTGCACCAGCTCGTAGGCCGAGATGATGTCGTCGTGGAGGTCCGGGAACTTCTGCAGGTGCATGGTCTTGTTTCGCTCCACAATCTCGCTCCACACCTCGCGCCGGGACTCGCTCGGCAGGTAGCGCGCATACTTGGAGTACACGGTGATGTCCGAGAGGATGCCGCTGCTCGTGCTCCTGCTCCGGGGATCACCGTCCTTGTCGGTGGATGTTGCCGTCTCCGTGGCAAAGCGGCGGCCTCTCGCTGGTGTGGACGGCGTGTGGCCATCTGGCACGCCCGCTGCACTTGATGTCGACACGCTACGAGCTGCTTGCCTCCACAACCGCGGCTGATGCCTGCTACTGCCCACAACAGTGCTCAAGCACGAGGCATATCGACGTTGTCGCTGTCGTTGGCGTTGCAGTGGAAGCTGCCATCGCGCAGCAGTGCTGCTGCTGTGGGTGTGGTTCCTGTGGCTGCTTGCGTCACTGCCCCAGCATACCACTTCCACTTGCACTGCCGACGCTGCTGCCACTGACGCATGGGTGCGGTGAGCACAACCCCTGCAAGCAGCAGCAGCAACAGAGGGTGTTGTTCTTCTCGCAGCCGCAAGCATGTCGGTGCACGTTCGTCGTCGTCGTTGTTTTATGCGGTTGTTGTTGCAGTTGATTGCGCGCACTGGCTGGCTGTTGTTGTGAAGGTGGGTTGGTTGTGATGTGATTGTGACATTGGTGCTGCTGACACAATCAACAACATGCATGCATGGCAGTGTGCTGGGAGGTGAGCTTGACGTTGGATGGTCGACTGTGTGTCACACTGCTGGCTCATCCACTCGCCTCTGCCTTGCTCACTCGCCTCTGCCTGCTCGGCAGACAGGCATGGAGGAACCGTGGAAGCAGTGGGACCAGGCGGAGATTGACCGGCAGATGTCGCCGAGCCAGTGGTCGCATCGCCTGTCTGCAGACAATGTCATCAAAGCGCACTGCGCAGTGCTGCCAACAGAGACGGACGAGAGCCGCCGCTTGACCGAGTACAAACGCGATGCCTACGGTGATGGCGCAAAGGGTGAGGTCATCGACTCGTACCTGCCAAAGGACTCTACCACGCCAAGTACGCTCACGCTTGCGCGTGCATGCGAGTGAAAGAGTGAGAGAGAGAACGAGTGCATGTGTGTGTGCACGTGTGCGTGTATGTGTGCGCGCGTGTGCACGTGAGTGAGTGTGTGCGTGCATATGTGTGTGTGCATTTGTGTTGAGGGGAGGCAGTCACACAGCTCGCGAATGAGTTGGGTTTGCATTGCGAAGGCTGCACTGCATAGTGCCTCCGCGCTGACCCGCATGCAACCATGGACACACACACACACACACACACACACAAACACACACACACACACATATCCTGTCGCATGTGCGCCTACCACCGAAAGGATGTGCTGTGCTATACATTCACGGGGGCATGTGGCAAGCGCTAGGGTCAGTTGGTGGCTGCGATGCCGTGATACTCAAGGAGCTGGCATCTGTGCCGCTTGCTTGCTTGCTTGCTCGTTCGCTTGCTCGTGTTGTTTCTCGGTCTTGAAGTGTCTGCTCACGCTAATGGGCTCTCTCTCTCTCTGTCTCTCTCTGTCTCTCTCTGTCTCTCTCTCTCTCTCTCTCTCTCTCTCTCTCTCTCTCTCTCTCTCTCTCTCTCTCTCTCTCTCTCTCTCTCTCTCTCTCTCTCTCTCTCTCTCTCTCTCTCTCTCTCTCTCTCTCTCTCTCTCTCTCTCTCTCTCTCTCT